TAATTATCTTAATTGATTCCCAGTTTATCATGCAAAAAAATGATCGGTCTTTATCGATTGATTGCATTTTAACGCATTATGCAGGCCAGTAGAACGCGGGGAGGGGGCAGCCCCCTCTTTTTCTGAGTATTTTATTTTGCTTCAGTTAATTTTCTTATGGATACTGGTTGCCCCCCCCCCCCATTTTTTGTTGCGGTAAGGTCGAGCACTGGCAAATTCCAGGACTTGAACAGTTTAGTAGGTTTCTTTTTTGCTTGTGAGATTATTTAGGGAAGTTGCTACCTACGGGCTTGTTAAGTGCAGGAGGATTTCTAGTGACGGTGGTTCAAAATGTCACATCCACAGAGTGTTTGGTGTCCAGTCACCGCAGCTGGGGATAGGCCTGGGTAGGGGGTATGAAAGTTATAACTTACATGCGGTATGAAGGAAAGTGGCACACGTTGTTATTAATCTATGTTGAATGCTTGCAGAAACCAGTTTATATGTAAAAGAAGTCAATTTGGGACACAGAAAAAGAGATTAGTACTGGTATAAAGGGTGAATGATATAAGTATATAATTGTATCTAAGAGGAACTAGGATTTAATTCTACGGGTGGAAACCCAACTTACATCTATACCTCCCTTTCTAAGGAGGAAATTCTTCAAAATCATATGTCCGTTTTAGATAATTTTAATATTCCCTATAATCAAAATGCATTTGAATTACCATACCTTTACTGGATTCCTAAACTTCATAAAAATCCTTACAAACAAAGATACATAGCGGGTTCCAGAAAATGTTCTACCAAGCCTCTTTCTTTACTCCTCACTAAAATATTTACTGTAATGAAGGAGAAACTTCAGGAGTACTGTTCAACAGTATATTCGAGAAGTGGTGTAGATCAGATGTGGATACTTAAAAATTCCAAAGAACTTTTGGAAAAAAATTGGAATCACAAAATTTTACTAAAATCAATAGCATCGAAGCGTACGATTTTTCAACACTTTATACAACCATCCCCCACGATAAATTGAAGTCCAGGCTTTTTTAAATCATAGACAGCTACTTTTTCAATAAAAATGGAACTCGTAAATATACTTACCTTGTCATTGGTCATTTACAAAATTATTTTGTTAAAAAGCACTCTAATTGTACACACAAGTACTTTGAAGTTGATATTAAAAAGATGCTTGAGTTTCTGATTGACAATATCTATCTAGTTTTTGGAGATCAGGTCTTCCAACAATCTGTTGGAATTCCCATGGGAACCAATTGCGCCCCCTTATTAGCAGATGTATTTTTGTATTCATATGAAGCAGAAGAATTTATTCAGAAACTTCTGCATGAGAAGAAGACAACACTTGCTGTGGCCTTCAACTCGACATTTCGTTATATCGACGACGTATTATCAATTAACAAGTTACTTTCATTCATATGTCGACTCGATATATCCCAGTGAGCTTGAAATAAAAGATACAACAGATTCTGACACATCTGTTTCAAATTTAGGTTTTTTTTTTACTAGAAAAAGACGTTAATGTTAACCTAACAACAAAGCTTTATAATAAACGTGATGACTTCAACTTTTTAATCGGCAACTTCCTTTACTTATGTAGCAATATACCCTTATCACCTGCATATGGGATTTATGTCTCTCATTTGATTCGATGCGTAAGAGCATGCTCTACGTATGAACATTTTCTAAAACGAGGCAAGCTATTGACAAACAAGTTGACGATACAAGGATATCAACAGTCTCCTTTGAACTCATCTTTTCGCAAGTTTTTCGGTCGATACAATGACCTTGTCAGCACTTACAAACTATCATTGAGTCAAATGCTGACTGACGTTTTACATACTAATTGTTAGGCCATTATTTATACACTGAACTGTCTACGGATTTTTCCGCTTTTTTTTCCCCGATCATGATAAGGAGCACACGGCGGGTGTGACCGGTCGGCAGGGGATGCTTACTCCTCCATGGCACCTGATCCCACCTCTAATTTTTGAGGTCCGTGTTTGCTCTGCTCTAAAGTTGTATCGTTTTATTGGACTTTTGAGATTGAATACTGTTCGTTATCTTCTTATTTCATTCTTCTAATACATCCGATGGTGAAGTCTTCTTTTCTTTGCACTTCTGTAGTCAGGTTGCGATATAATTTTGATATGTAATTAAGGAGGAGAAGGACCTTCGGCTAAAAAAAATCCCGTCATTCAATTTTTTTCATATTTTGTATATTTCTAATTAAGTATGTCCCACATATCTTAAAGCAGTTAAATCATTAGAGATATTGATTGACAAATACTATGCCTTAGAGTATCTAAGTGGAGTTTTAATTCTCCATATTTTCAGGTCCATTACTCTGTCCATAATTGGATTTTTTAAGCATAGATAAAAAATATTTAAGGGGACATATATCTTTTAAAATATTTCAGAGTATGGATAGGGTTTAAAATTCGAAAAAGCAAATTTCTTCTGTCACACTGCATCTGGATAGGGAAAATTACGTACTTTTTAAGACAACTTAAACAACAAAAAACTAAATTTGCAAAAAATTCTATCATTCAAATATGAATATTTTTAAATTTACGTTGAAATGTAAGTCCTTCACATTATTGATTAACTGTAAAAATTTCAAATGGTGAAGCTGACCTCAATATTGCACAGGACATCGTTAAAGAAGACATAAGCATGACAAAAACGTGTCATGTTCACATTTCTCGAGTACGGGAAAAACCAACTATGACGTCACACGTAAGCTGAATAAGCAAAATTAGATATACCTACATAAGATTTCCGTCATTAGCCATGCAAAAATAATTTTTGTGTTCCCCGTTTCTCAAAATATTTCATCATGTACTGATTATGATTATTTTTTACATAATAATAGTGCAAGTGTATTCACCGAGTATATCTTGCTGACTAACAGATCGTGTATGACGTCACCGACGTGTTGGACGGGCAGTTTAGAGAAACAGAGGAGTGGATCAAACTATTTCATAATTTGTTTATGATTACAAGAATGTTATTTTTTTTTTATTTTTCTATATAGGTTGGTAATTAAAGTAAATACAAATTGTCAAAAATTTATACAAGAACTTATGGTTTACACGTTTTGCACTTATATAAACAGAGGCTATGACGTAGTTAAACAGTCATGTGACCATGTGTCCTTCATCCCCTTAAATCAAAAACTGGACTCTGTTTTCCCTTTGTATTCCGTCCTGCTATGAAAACTTGTTTGTTGATATGGAACATTTTTTATCTCTAATCTCTCTCTCTCTCTCTCTCTCTCTCTTTAATACACACACACATAAACATATTGTCTCTGCATGTATGCAATTTTCATCGATATCCTATCCACATACATGTTTGAAACAAATGCAACTGTTTGAATCTTCTGATTTATTCTAAGAACATTGTTATGCTAAATTGTCCATTATTCTTTAAAATAATACTATTTCATTTTCTTATTCCAATCACCACCCACGCATTGTAAGGGATTTTCGAGTAGCCTTTCTGACTACAAACGTGGGAGATAAACAGACTGTGGGAGAGGCAGTATTGCTCCTCTCATCCTACTGATTAAAACTCCCCATCCTTTTCAATTATCAGACACCGTATGAAGCCACGAATCTATAAGAACTTCATAATTTGCCTTGATTCGTTTACATATTCCTCTCCGCCATAAATCACTTGTCTAATTCGTTTCTAAGGCTAGCTGAATATGACGTTTTTGAGTGATGCTGAGTATACGCGCTATAGACACTTTAAAGAGTCCCCCTCTTATCCGACAGACTTCCCCTCTTATCAGTACAAGCTAACTGCTCCCCCGTTTGTCGCCAGCTATCGTCTTCTACAATCTTTGAACATCATATTTTAACAAGCCTCGGAATCTGCTTTTCAACAATATTATTATCGAATATATTCTGTGTACCAGAATCCGGACATAATAATGCATGAAGAACCTGAGATTTACAAAAAAAAAACCGTTAAATTCATCTGATTTATTGTATAGTGTAGAAGGGGTGCAGGAATGAATAAATAAATATAGATGAATGAAAGATGGATGAAAGAATGAAAATTAATTCTTCTTACATGTGATAAACCATAAAATATTCTAATTTACTTGTATAAAATATTTTATCATATTTAGTTAATAAATATTTTATCATTGTTTACTTTCATAGTTTTCTGATCCAGTTTATATTTTATTACCTAGTAGTCTTTACTACCTTAAATCTGGAAAAATTTACATTATTGGAACATAATTATATGCATTCATTTATTCATATTTTAAAATCTCCAATCATGAACTAGATGAATATTACTAATTTTACATCCACAATAATTATACTTTCTCCACTCATACTCATTATAAATTTGAGTAAAGTTTTACTGGGATGTACATTTCCATACAACGAATCTTTGTCTAGCGATTGTTCGCCAAGAGAATTAATTTTATCTCCGGGGAAAGAAAACTTTGCTCCCGAGTCACCTCTCTCTGGTTCCGTAATCTCTGGGAGACCGAAGGAATGCGCCACTCCAACAAAAACTAGGGGCTTTTTCTGGTCGTTTGTCCAGTCATATCGGATGTTTGCATAAATATATATCTTATTGTTCATTATTTCTTTTATAGAGAAATATGAAGGCAGTCATTAATTTCTTTTCTTTTTTTTTATATCTATTACTCTTTTTATCCACATACTTATGTCTACGAACTCTCATCCCATCAAATTCAGCAGTTCTCCTCCCTTAATCAAGTGAGGTCTGAAATTTCCCACCGGATATCACATTTTATATATATATACTCGTATGTTTGAAAATTAGATTAAATCAAATGCAAAACCCATAATTAAAACCATCTATATTCTATTAGTCCAGTCGAACCGCCTTGCCAATCTGTCTGTCTGTTAATTAACCTAAATTTATGGTGGTTTACATCTTTTTTGAATCGCACTACAAGAATTACTCTACGATATCAGCCCACTGTGGCTTTTATAAACGCCACGCGCCGGGGCAATTCAAAATTGAAATAACTTAGCATGAACAAACGCCACGCGCCACTGGTGTTTATATACTCGTCAACAGAGCAGTCAGCACCGGCGGTTCACGAGCCTTCTTCACGGTTCACGGAACACGTTGTCGAATCGTATCGTCGCCGTTTTTACCTGGGACTTTAACATTAACAGACGACCAAAATACCATGTCGGTCCATCGCTGCGAAATGAGAGATGAGACCTAAATTTAATTCATCTGAAAATTAGAAATTACGGTGATATCTATTTTTAAAAGGATGACACCATTGCTGGATTTATATTTTGTCTGGGATAAACTGAAGCTCCTTCTTTTATGCATATGTAAGTATTTATTGTACCTGAGAAATTCATCTGGCAAATTCATGTGTTTATGTAAATTCCACAAATAATCTCTTTCTTATCTCTGTTTTTCTGTTTATTCAGTACTAGTCAATCTAGGCACTTAAGCTCATGAAACGCGCTAAACGATTTTTTTTTTCAAAATAGAACAATTTTTGATATAAATCTAAGAATGTTCTCTGGTGCTTTGTAATTTTGTTTCGCCTTCAAATTCAAGCAAAATAAGCTCTAGTTGTGCTTAATTTTTTTTTTTCTACCTCACGATCTTAATTTTCTTTACCAGCGAATAGAATATGTTGAAACTTTATCATACTTCATTAAGAAAGTCATTTCGCCCGTTTACTGTGGAAAATTTTATATTCCCTTCGAAATTGCCAAGTATTTCTATTAAAATTTTTGATGTTATTAAGTTTGTTTGCAAAAATGACTTTAACACGAAATGTCTTTTCTGCAATTTTACCCCAATAATTGATCAGTCAGAAATTACACAGAATGGACCTGTCATCTTTAACACATCATTTCCAATAAGTGGTTTTTCAAATTACACCAAAAAATCTAGTTGCCATTTAAATCTTTCAGGGCAAATTGTTGTAAATTGTATGATTTACTTTGACGAGGAAAATATTTTTCCATTTTGTTTAATTCACAAATCACAAGAGTCATTTTGTGACAGAGGACGGCCTTGTGTACCTGGATAGAGACATGATAATTATGTAAACTTAGGGGTTCATACGTTTTTAAACATAATGGAATTCTTCCGTGTCGTCAATCAGTTTGCCATTTATGAATTTCATTAACTTATAAATTGCTATTTGAATTAGTTTAATGAATTCTAATAGAACTTTGAATCCTTGTTTAAATATCCCAGGCACCGAGTCCCGTACGTATCTATAGAAGTGGTTTACCATTTAGTTCTCTATACCGAATTCCTACCAACGATTTCATTTCCAAATTGATACATATCTGTTTGAACACTCTGCCCATACCTCTGGGTCCAAATTTCAATTATCGTGTCCCTCGGGGTATATACATGCCCTCCTAATATCAATGTTTCCCCGCCAATAAATGAATAGTTCCATCATTTTCTGTGCCTATATAATGTACCGAGTTATCGATTTATGCCGAACACCCAATTAGCAAATTATGTCTTAAAGTCAATTTTCTTCTGGTCCCAATCTTTAAGTATTTACAATTGTTAATTTTTAGCCTGTCTTGGGGCAAGTGTCCCTTATACGTAAACGTCATTCTGTCTGTATTTAATAAAATAATTGAAGTTTTGGAATGTTTGCAATCATTTCCAATTGTATTATCTCTCTCTTCCATCTCTATACCAAGAATAGCTGCATATTTAATGCTGTAAATATCCAACAACATTAAAGTAACAATAAGTGTATTAATCTCCCTTCATATTTGCCAAAGAAAAAAAAGTAAATATAAAATAACTTGTGGTTTTTTTTTTTTTTTTTTTTTTTTTTTTTTTTTTTTTTTTTTTTTTTTTTTGTATAAAACTAATCTTACAAGGACATTATCCATACTTCTCCACATTCAAATGCAAAGAAAAATATTTGTTGTATATTGGAAGACTGCGTTAAAAGCACGCAGCACAGATGCCCGTTTTATACTCGATTGTGATTACTTTAATTTAGTTTATATAAAATTTTTACTATCCAGGCGGATCGATGTTTATCACGACAAAGCTCTGGCTTCCAGAGTCCTGGATTTCATCAAACGAATTGACTGTTGGCTTCGTCTGTTTATAAGCTTTCAAGTAGACAGACAGGCTAGGTAGAGGGGTCCGTCAAGTACTCTTTGTTGTCTATTTCATTTCTGTATGTGTCCGTCTTCATTAAAATGTACGTCTCTCTCTCTCTCTCTCTCTCTCTCTCTCTCTCTCTCTCCATATATGAATGAATGAGAGGGAGAGAGAGAACCTATCCTATGGAAGTTTTACTATTTTCCGTACAAGCGCAGGTAATTATAAAAATAGGAAATATTTTCTGATGATATGTAGTCAAGAATTTTAAAGTTTGTACTCCATCAATTTTGTATTCAAAAACACACCTGGAAATAAATTACAAATTGATCCATCCGCACTCTTTTATCAGCTTTATAATCTTAAAGAATCTTAATGCATGCATTGCTACAATTTTTTTTTTTTGTAAATATGATAATTCTATTTAGATATAACCAAACTATCGTTTTTTAACACGAATGTAGCAAAACTTTTCAATGCGATTCACGTATTTCTGTTCCAAAATTCTATCAACACGATAATTTATCGTTTTTTGTCTTTCTGAACGCCTACAAAACAATAAGCACTGGAATTTGTGTAAGAATTCATGGAAGATTATTCACTGATATTTCCTGTAATGCATTAAACATAACCTCTTTATTGTACATAAATCGATCTTTCAGTTCAAAATAATCAATCAAAAGCTTTGCAGATTGCAAATGTATTTCCTTCTACCTCTATACGTACGCATATTAATAGCTGAATAAAAGTCAATGGTAGCTTTTAGCAGAGAGAGAGAAAAAAAGAAAACAGAGAGAGAGAGGAAGGGAGTCCAAAGTCAAAAACATTTCATAACATCTAATTTTTTATTCTCGTCAAAAAAAGGATACATTAATTGGGAGAGTTTGACAATATTGCAACAAGAAGTGTGGGGTGGGGGTTTCAATGACAGATTCCATACTAAATTAAGGACAAAAGATTATTAAAAGTTGGGGGGGGGGGGTAGTCTACTCTGCCTATTCCCCTGATATAACGTGTCTGCTTTCCCCTCAATGCACAGATACCCCTACCCTTCACTTAGGCCAAACATGCATACTTTGACCTTCCCACCCGTTGCCCTGTGGTGCAGTGGTTAGAGCATTTGCTCTAAAGTCGCGGAGTAAGGAGTTGATCCTTACATCGCTGGTTCGAATCCCACTGCGATCCGTATAAAGTGAGGTCCCGTGTCGCAGTAGGTGCTGGCACGAGAAAGATCCCTCACTGCTCAATGGCCCTAAGTGCTGAGTATAGGGATTTTAAACAAACAAACAAACCTTACTACCCATCAATCAATTTCCCTTACTCTTACCCAGCTCTTCTTACTATTTTCTTCCTGCATTTCCGCTACCCCCCCCCCCCGCCTTACATGTATTCACATCGGTTCCATTCATGAGTTATTTAGTCGATTCCTGTGATATTTTATTGACCATCTTAAAGTTTGATTATCTTAGACGTTTGTAATCATCGCAATTAACCTTCTCCAATCTTTGTTCTTTTCAAAACCAAAAATAATCATGCAATGGCATCCGTATTAAAAATCTTTCAATTGTCTAAATATTGTCAATGCCCATTAATTCCCCGACTAGTATTTACTATTCACTAATAATACCGGCGCCTTGACGGAGCGGTGACTATTCTACTTCACTAATCATTTGACCCTGCTAATCCCCACTAGAGGGGGACGTCGTCCAGTATTAATCCCTGGTTCGTCTGATAGCAGGAATTAGGCGAGTATTTACGGAATCAGCTGACAACGTTCTTATCGTTCATACAATTTCTACCACCCCCCCAGTCATATTTATCAAAATGAGCCCATTCCTTACGCCTTGTTTAATTTCAAAGATGAGAATTAAGTCTTTTCTTTTGCGCACTTAAAGTGTATTGCCAAAAAAGAAAACCTCGTGTTTCTACTGCACGGAGTGGATTAAGATCGTCTGTTTCGTTTCCAGTAGCCCACGGGAATACTAACGATTTATTTTGGGGGTAACCTTCCGATGTAGCTGTAGACACAAACTTTTTTTCACGTTAGACCTGATACTGAAGAAAGTACAAAAAGTAAATAAATGAATAAAAACGAACTAAAGGATTCCACAAAAATTTCATTGGGACAATCATATGCCTCTTCCTTTTTCTTCGGAATTTCAATATTAAAAACAAATCGTCTATGAAAAAATATTACTAGAACAATTGAAAATATCTTCGAGATCTATAAATTAAGGATAAATGTATAAATCATTATTCGTGTTTTAAAATAGAATATGAATTTTGATTACCCCGTACTGATAACACGGACCCCGTGGTCGATTTTGATCTGAAATATGGGCGTCAGATTTGTTCAGTTGACATGGTGGTGACAGTCGCTGTACATTAATGTCGGGAAAACTCTTCCACTCAATTCATTGCATTGTTTGTAAGACCATGACAGGTCAAAAGGGGTCACAAGACACTTCGTCTGCAGATCAACCACAGAAAAACAAAATCACACAACTGTGTAACGTACCGGACTCCGGTATGTTAGGACTAGACTAAGTGGCGATATACTAAGATACGCATTATTGAATATAATTATCAAGCGAATCATCAATTATTTATCAAAAGCAGGGCCCGTAAGCTATTTCAGTTTTGGAGGGCACACCTTGCTGGGGGGGGGGGGGATTTCTTGACAAGCCAAAAAAAGGGATCATCAGAATTTAGCATTGAAGGACACAACCGTAAATAAGCTGTTTTCTATTGTATGTACTAAAAAACGGGGGAGGGGGGGGGGGTGACTCAGGTTCCTACGGACCTGTAAACTCGGACAGGCAATAAATATTAAAATTAAAAATGATTGATGTAAAAACACCTATTTACACTGTAGATGTAGATATATACGGTGCCACTTACACTGCATCATACTAAATAGGAAACTAAACTAAAACATTTTGATCTCGTTAGAAAAACATGCAAACAGACATGCCGACAGACAGGTAGACAGACAAAACAACAAGATATAGAAAAGAACTCCTGACTTCTTTTTAATGAATTTCTATATAAGCTTCGCTGATCTTTTGATGTGAAAAATATGAACAAAGGTATTGAATAAATCAAACGTACTCTGAATTAGAACTAGACACCACACATGACAATGAAACTTAATCAAAAACCATACACAATTTACTTTATGTAATTACGAATCAGTAATTATATGTACAAGTTTTAATGTTTACAAAGTAAATAATCATTTGAGATAGTAGGACAGTGAATAAATATTTGATGATACTATAAATCATGCTGTTTCTGACTTAGATGGTTTTATTTAGGATGACACCTATTATGATGCATGCATTACATTGTTGACAATGATCAAGACAGAAATATGGCATTACTGACGGCAGATGTATATTCATGAAGTGCACACACATATTGCCGACCTAAACTGCGCGACAACTCGCGATTGGAAGATCATTTTGTTTTTTTTTTGTTTTGTTTTTTTTTGTTTTTTTTTAATTAAATTAATAATACATACACAGGTGTATTATAATTACACCTCTCGCTTCTAAATCACAGACCTCTCAAAAATACAAACTTTATTTATAAAACAGTCATAGCTAAACTTGTTAATTTTAATGATGTTTCATTTCTTCATTTTCAAAAATGTAGGTTACTATTAGAAATTTTAAGGGTCTACTTTTTCCAACCAAACATTTTCCTGATCAAAGTAAAACTGAAAGATATCGTAAATATGGATGTAATGATATAGAGAATAATACCTACCCCTTTCCATATCACATCCTGTATCAGCCCGAGACACCAATATCAGCCAGAGGGCAGAAGGCCCGAGGGCTGATATTGATAGAGGGCTGATACAGGATGTGATATGGAAAAAGGTATGTTTTATTGTATTTATTACGTACTTAGTAATAAATACAGTGCAGCTCTACTTGAGCAAACACACATAAAAAATCAGTAATTTAAAATCATGAGAATGTGAACCAAAACAAGGTGTATTATCCTAAGTACTGTTTTTAAAAAAAATACTCAGTATTCTCCATATGCATGAGGGTGTGATATATAGAGAGAATAATACATGACAAAATTTGTATCACACCCCATATCAACCCGAGACTGCAATATCAGCCCCAGGGCCGAAGGCAAGAGGGCTGATATTGGTCGAGTGTTGATATGGGGTGTGATACAGATTTTGTCTTGTATTGTTGTTTTTATTATATATTTGGGTTTTTAGTGTCTAAAAATTATATATAAACTTGTAAATTAATTACTGAATTTTTAATAATTGAATGTGTTCTGTTTTTGTTTGAATTTCCGTTTCTCATTTTTCCCCAAAGGCAATGCATTCAGCGATAAGAAATGAAATAATTATAAATTAAAAAAATAATTATTTTGAATAACATAAAATGTCTGATGAAATAAAATTACAATTTGAATTAACTTTGGAAAGAAATAGGAAAAGATCCGAGGTACTCAGAATGAAAAATACGGAGATATTCCGGAAAGGTGTAATAAAGGGTGTGATAAAGGGTGAAATAAAGGGTGCTGATACAGGGTGTGTAATACAGGGCGCGTGCCTGTGTTCATATCAGGGATGCAAAAATCCTGTATTATTGAACAAATATATAATAAAAATTATAAACTTACTCTTAATTATTTTGAATAGCATAAAATATCTGATGAAAAGTTACAATTTAAATAAACTTTATAAAGAATTAGTAGAAAAAGATCCGAGGTACTCCGAATGAGAAATACAGAGATGTTCCAGAAAGGTGTAATAAAGGGTGTGATAAAGGGTGAAATAAAGGGTGCTGATACAGGGTGTGTAATACAGGGCGCGTGCCTGTGTTCATATCAGGGATGCAAAAATCCTGTATTATATAACAAATATATAATAAAAATCCGTATCAGACCCGCAGATCCATATCATTCCTGCAGGATCCGTATCAGCCCTGGAAGCTGATATGACTATTGTGACGTCAGGCATACATGTACCGCATATACAAAAAAATACTGTATTTATTGTTAAGTATATAATAAACCAAAATACCATCTCACAATCCTTACTAATTTACAAGTATTGACAATGGGTGAAAATTTTCTTTATTTTCAGGCCTGCCATATTTTGCGTCTGGCACCTGTCCCGGTGACGTCAAAGGTCAAATAAAAAACTGCTTCCGGGATTATGAGATGAAGATAGAGGGAATCCTAACCCCGGGGAATTCCATCATATCAGGGGTGGATGCCGAGAATATCCGGCTTCTCTGCACGTATGTAAATAGAATAGTCTTTAAAAACCTATATCTAATATTAATGTTCCAATAACCTTGTTTATAATTTACACAGCTTTGCATGAATTTAATGTAAGAGACCAAAAGTATGTAATGAATGTAATCTTTAAAAAGGAAAAAGCTGAAGATAACGAACAGGGATCGATACAAAACAATACAAAACCTATACCAAATATCTATGTTCTAAAACATTATTATATTTTTCATAACTTTGTATGAAATCAATGTTAAGATACACAAGATAAATAAAATAAAATTATGGCATAGATATGTATTTAAAAGAAGCAACTCTCCTCCCTCTCCAGTCTGTGCGGTGTCTCCTATGGTCGTCTCTGTAACGCTACATGTCCTTCTGTACATTCTGTACATACAGTTGAAATTCGGCATCTCGAACACTGATATCTCGAATACCATGGATATGTCGAAGTGATTTGGAAGTCCCCATCCCTATTCTTTAAGTATTTTACCCTGGATATCTCGAATCCTCGGATATCTCGAAGTTTTTTCTCGGTCCCATTGAGTTTGAGATAACTAGGTTTGACTGTATTGTCTTCTGTACATATTGTCTACTGTACATATTGTCTTCTGTACATATTGACTTCTGTACATATTGACTTCTGCACATATTGACTTCTGTACATATTGTCTACTGTACATATTGACTTCTGTACATATTGACTTCTGTACATATTGTCTACTGTACATATTGTCTACTGTACATATTGACTTCTGTACATATTGTCTACTGTACATATTGACTTCTGTACATATTGTCCTCTGTACACATTGTCGCTGGCGAGAATATATATACTACCCTCACTACATATATTGTCATTCATCCGTACATATTGTTCACCTGCGACAATATGTGTAAAGACGAACCTTTTATTCCATCTGCAGAATGGACGACAAAGTGCAGTTGCATATCAGCACATATTGTCTTCAGTGACAATATATGCCGAAGGTCTTCTCATAAAATCGACTTCTATAGAAGTTATATATTTTCCAAGTGTTTCTTCAGTTATATTTTGAAATTGGTTCTAAAACGTACATGTATAGTGCATTGGATATCGGTGAGCCGAATCTGATGATTTTTTTTTTTCTTAACAGAAAGAGGGTGCCTGATTGTTGTTTCAGAGAGAGAGAGAGAGAGAGAGAGAGAGAGAGAGATTTCTTGTCTTTTTTATGAATTTATATCTGATTCAATAATTTATTTGCAGTATTACCCTCCTCACAGAATTACTTGAACACATGTACATTAAATATAACGTTCATTATACAGCTGCTTTACTAGAGTTGGAAAAAATGACAAGTGATCTTATGAAAATTGGAAATGAAATTTTTCGATATCATCAATCATCATCATTATCATCATCATCATTACGTTAACTCTAATATGTGTAGTGAAGGAAGGTACACGTTGTTGTCGGCTACAACATGTACAAGACGACAATATGTACCTTTACTATCGAGCTGCATCAAATAGACATAAAGGTTTGACGACACGTTTCTTGAATATATATGTTTTTGCATCTCTTTGTAATATACCAAAAGTATTAACAATTACTATTTTTTCTAACTTCTTAACGATTTTCAACTTGTCTAAAAAGAAAACATATAAAGTAAAACAAAAAATCGTGATATCAGCAGTTCAAGTGATTTCCAGTATAGGATTATATAGAATCTATCATCCTCCGAAATCTCACACAAATGCCTGGTAATGTACTTGAATATTTTGTGAGGAAAATTCTTTCTGTAACAATATTTCAATCATAAATGCTTAGGAAAAAAATATTTTTGAAGAACGTGTCGTCTGACCTTGAACAACCCGAACTATTGGGCAACAATATGGGCATTGAGGGTAGGCAGTAGGCACATAATGTCGCCAGCGACAAAATGAACATATATGATTTTTCAGCTGGCGATCGACAATATATGTCGATGGGGGACAATATGTGCAGTGAGGATTGGTGCATGTTGTCGCTAACAACAATATGTGCAAAGCGACAGTTATGTACTGTCACATTTCTCTTTTACTCTAACACTACATATTTTATTTGGCCCTTGGGAAGGGGGTTGTTAATCCTTGACATGGCACAAAAATTTCATTTAACGGACTTCAAATAAAAAAAAGTACACGTGTTGCATTCTTAGGATCATCTTTGGGATCAAAACTTACTATATTATTGTAGTACAACTATTCAAATATGCCAAAGAAATATTCTATCTCAATGTAACCTGACTTAATGACAAATAACACCTGTATATGTAAACAACAGATTTGTTTTCAATATACTCAGTATATGAAATTTGGAAGGAGTTCGTCCATGAGAAAGAGATAATTCACTAAGTGCATTACTTAATTTTTCCCATCAGCAAATCATGTTGAGACCTTAATATTTCATCAGACATTAAGTTTATAGATGATCGATATCATAATTCAGCTGAGTTATAAAAATATATTTTTTCCCCTGATTTATGCCTTATTAATGTACTTTGATGTCTCCGCAGACAAATGTCTAAGGGGGACATAAGCTCATTCACTAACTTAACGGCGAGGGTTGAGCATGAAAGTCTATCTAGCGAACTGGTTTAACTATGATATAATTCCTAACCAGTGTTGAGTTTGTGGGTGGAGGGTGACTAGTCACTTAATTAAGATGCCCTAGGCTAATTATTTAATACTTTCGCTGTCGATTCTTTGTATACTTTTACGTCCACAAAATCAAGAGTTTAATGCAGGAATGTTATACCGGAAAATTTATCATAATGGTAAAATTAAACCAAAAAAAAAACTTTAAAGATATTCACCATCTTGAAAAGCGATTGACAAATTCTTGAGAGTTCGTGCACGTTCTAACGACGGGCAAATTGATCTTTACCATTAGGGCTGTCAGACATCGAAAACGTGCGTTTTACTGGCATATTTCGGTCGCATTATTACAAGAGCTCTTTGGTCAACACCGGGTGCTCTTGAACTCAAGATCAGAACCAAATAATTCAACACTAAGATACAAGTTTGTCACCGTTTTTCCCTCCAACCCATCGCTGACGGAGTCCTTTTTAAACACGAAAACGTTAACAAAACTATTTCAGAAAAGAAAACGAAAGTGATTCGTGTAAACAGAGATAAAAGGTGTTTAATTTAGATGACTTGGTTGTGGTGCATATTGAAAGGAAGGGATCGTTTATAATGTGTTTTTATTTTAAATGAAACTTACAAAACATTAGGCACTACCAAAATATTTACAAAAAAACTACTCAGTATTACGGCCCATCTCCATTCTCAAGTACACGCCGAAATCTTGCAGCCTAAATTAACAAAATATCTTCAAGAAATGTTATAGGAAGACATATTAAAAAAATTACCAAGATTGAAGGAATGTTCTTCCTTAATGTTAATTCAATCCATCAAATTGATATATCTGTCCAACATGCATTCTTCGTTTGACAAAGTTGCAGAATTAATAATGTATACTCCGATTTTACCATGCATTTCGATATGAAATATATTTTAAATGTTAAACGCATTATTTTTAGCTCACCTGAGCTGAAAGCTCAAGTGAGCTTTTCTGATCACATTTTGTCCGGCGTCCGTCTGTCCGTCTGTCTGTCCGTCTGTCTGTCTGTAAACTTTTCACATTTTCAACTTCTTCTGAAGAACCACTGGGCCAAATTCAACCAAACTTGCCACAAAGCATCCTTGGGAAAAGGGGATTCAAGTTTGTTCAAATGAAGGGCCACGCCCTCTTTCAAGGGGAGATAATTAGGAATTAGTGAAAAAATAATGGCATCATTTAAAAATCTTCTTCTCAAGAACCACTGGGCCAGGAAAGATGAAACTTATGTGGAAGCATCCTCAGGTAGTGTAGATTCAAGTTTGTTCAAATCATGACCCCCGGGGGTAGGGTGGGGCCACAATGGGGGATCCAAGTTTTACATAGAAATATATAGGAAAATATCTTTAAAAATCTTCTTCTTAAGAACAGCAAAGCCATGATTGGTCATATTTATATGGAAGCATCCTCAGGTAGTGTAGATTCAAGTTTGTTCAAATCATGATCCCCAGGGGTAGGGTGGGGCCAAAATGGGGGATCCAAGTTTTACATAGAAATATATAGGAAAATATCTTTAAAAATCTTCTTCTTAAGAACAGCAAAGCCATGATTGGTCATATTTATATGGAAGCATCCTCAGGTAGTGTAGATTCAAGTTTGTTCAAATCATGACCCCCAGGGGTAGGGTGGGGCCACAATGGGGGATCCAAGTTTTACATAGAAATATATAGGAAAATATCTTTAAAAATCTTCTTCTTAAGAACAGCAAAGCCATGATTGGTCATATTTATATGGAAGTATCCTCAGGTAGTGTAGATTCAAGTTTGTTCAAATCATGACCCCCAGGGGTAGGGTGGGGCCACAATGGGGGATCCAAGTTTTACATAGAAATATATAGGAAAATATCTTTAAAAATCTTCTTCTTAAGAACAGCAAAGCCATGATTGGTCATATTTTTATTGAAGGATCCTCAGGTAGTGTAGATTCAAGTTTGTTCAAATCATGACCCCCAGGGGTAGGGTGGGGCCACAATGGGGGATCCAAGTTTTACATAGATATATATAGGAAAATATCTTTAAAAATCTTCTTCTTAAGAACAGCAAAGCCATGATTGGTCATATTTATATGGAAGCATCCTCAGGTAGTGTAGATTCAAGTTTGTTCAAATCATGACCCCCGGGGGTAGGGTGGGGCCACAATGGGGGATCCAAGTTTTACATAGAAATATATAGGAAAATATCTCTAAAATCTTCTTCTTAAAAGCAGTAAAGCCATGATTGGTCATATTTATATGGAAGCATCCTCAGGTAGTGTAGATTCAAGTTTGTTCAAATCATGACCCCCAGGGGTAGGGTGGGGCCACAATGGGGGATCCAAGTTTTACATAGAAATATATAGGAAAATATCTTTAAAAATCTTCTT